CTTAGTCAATTTACATTCACTTGAAGGTATAAACCTCAGGTTGATGGATATGCCACTTGACATTTAAACATTATTGTTTAGTTCACCTTTTTAAATATAGAAACATAGAAATAGATGCAGGAGTAGGCCACCTTAGATGTTCGAGTCTACCTTGTTTCTGCTTTCTCCCCATATCCTTTAATCCCTTTAGCTCTAAGAACTATATCCAAATCCTTTTTGAAAACATTCAGTGTATTGGCTTTGACTGCTTTCTGTGGCAGAGAATTCCACAGGCTTACCATAGCATCATACAGCACAGAAACACCCTTCGGTTCAACTTATCTGTGCTGACTAAGTTTCTCAAACCAAACTAGTCCCTCTTTCCTGCATTTGGCCTATATCCCTCCCAACCTTTTGTATTAATGTACCTGTCCAAATGTCTTTTAAATGTTGTACCTGCATCTACCATTTCCTCTGGCGGTTCATTCTACATACAAACCATTCCACCACTATTCTGTTTCCTGTAACTTAGCTAATTTTGTATCCATATTGCCACTGTTCCTTTTTTATTCAATGGGGTTTAACTTTGCTGGCAAATCTATTATACTTTATAAATTGTACATAATATACATTATAATCTATTATAAAACACTTTTGAAGTCCATATATACCACATCAGCTACTTTGCACTAATCAACTTTCTCTGCTAACTCATCAAAAAAACTCGAACAGGTTAATTGCCCACAAATTGCCTTTACCAAATCCATGATGGGTTTCCTTAAATAATCCACTGTTGTCCAAGTGATTTGTTAATTTTGCCCGGATTCTTGATTCGACAAGTTTCCCACCACTGAGGTTGAACTGACTCCCCTGTAGTTGTTGTGTTTATCCATATGCCCCTTTTTTCAAAAGCAACGTTACTTTTGCAGTTCTTTTGTCCTTCAGCACCAAGATCAGGACCTCTGCAATTTCCACTGTCGCTTTGTTCAGCAGCCTCTGATATGTGCTATCTGGTCTTAGCATCCATTATCTCAATCACCTCCTTTTTTCACTGATTGTTTAGACTGGTTAATATTAGAGTAAATTGGAATTCTTTCAGTGGTTAACATTTTGTAAAGTTAATGGAATGTAGTAACTCACTGTATTCATCTGTACATAGCGTAAACCTGTATCTCAATGAATATATATTTCAAAGCGGCACCTTCTATAAGATTGACTCCTTCACAACAAACATTGGACTTCAAATCTTAACAATGTTGTTTTTTTAGTGAATGCTAAAATCATGCTGTTATAAAATGAAAACAGTTTACCTGAAAAGTGATTCTTCTCATTACCCAGATATCACTGCTAGATAACAGCAGTGCTGCCGACTGATCAACCAAAAGTAAACTTTCCTTGTGTTTTGTAGAAATGTACGAAGTTTCCTCTTGCCCAATTCATACAATTCTATTCAACAGAATGTTATATCATTTATCCATACCAGCAGCTATCCTGGAGGAGCTAATCATGTAGAAACCACCTTCCCACTTGAGTCTGCTCAAGAATGGGCAGTCCATCACTAGATTACCCTTAGGTATTGAAGAAAAAATTTGTCCTGACATTTTGTCAGTTTTAGACCAGGAGGGGGATGAAACTCAAGATCCTGCATTCTTCTGTTCTTTTGTTTAGCCTTGAGATGTTTTTTGTACAGTTCTGGTTACAAATAATTAGTTTTGCAGTTTAAAATGATTAAAATGACAGGATTTTGTTCTGGAGGAGCTCAACCAATGAGCAGTCCTATCAAAACCTGGCATCACTTGTTTTCTCCATACACACTGAGAAAGCACAAAATAATTGAAAAAAAAAACACCAAGGATATTGGGAATGAGGAATGAAATAACCCAACATTGTTGCTGGGTATATCTACTACAGTATCATTCCTTCATGCCATTTAAAAATATTAATAATATTGGATCAGGCATTAGTTATATTTTACTATTCTGCAAAAAGTCATGTTAACTTTGGCAGTGACAATAAATCTTATTTACCTTTTCTCTTCAGCCAAGAAAAACATCATATTCCTTAAAGTCTCCAGGAATAAGACCAAATCCCTCAAGACATGCCTCTACCTCTGTGAACCCAAAGAATCCTATGCAGGAGCCTTGCAAGATCAGCGTCAGTAGAATTCCTGAAACTGAAAATGAATCAACATTACCCATCCCAAACTCCCCAAACACACCATTAACTCCAAGTGTATTTGCTTCTCCTGAGTGCAATGTTTTTGATGGGGATGTTTCCAGTCCTAGCAGTGAGTATCATTTTGTTCTGTAAAATGTCGTTACTATTAATATTGGGTTTATTAGCTTGAATAAGCTGCTTTTCTAAAACCTTTAAGTCTCAAGTGATGCGTATGTGGTTCAAATCATCTTTATTTAGAGAATTTGGAAATCCTTGAGTGTGTTCCTCAGAGTGCCACAGCAGTCTCATATAGTTTATGACACTGACTAGTTTTCCAACAGACCAGAAGGTTGCAGGTTTAATTTGCAGTATATGTTGGCACATCAGTTTGGTTGTGCAGAAGAAGACATCGATTTGAGGCATTGGAAAACCAGTCTAATTCTTAGAACTGGTGCCTGTTTAATTATTTCTCAGCTAATGTTGGTATTTTAAGAGGAAAAGGTTAAAATTAATTTTAAAATTGAACATTGCCTTACCGGAAATGACAATGATGAGTAAATATTTGGTTATATGCATGGTAGAAATAACACTCACACAGTATGGCTGATTTTCTGGCTGCTATGCTTTTACTTCCATTTATTCCTCTGTCTTCTACAGGTAGTTCAAGTTCAGTCTGTTCCACAATCTTTGCTCCTGTTCACATTGGTGCTGGTATGCCAGCTTATGCTGGATTTTTTTAATGTCCACTCACGCTGTTGGTTTGCTTTCTTCTCTTGACTCTACAACATCTGCTTACTACTTGTAACGATCCTGCTTTTGACTGGCTGTGGTTAATTAACAGATAATTGCATTCATCTGATTTTAGTAAATTTGAATACATTTTTCATCGCTTTATATCTAAAACAAGTTTGATCATTCTCATGATTTGCTGTGATAATTACAATGAAATGGAACTGAAGAGAATTTAGCTTACAATCTTCACATGGCTTCCTTCATTTAATTGCATTTACTCAGTGAAATGACAGTGTACTGCTACTGTTCATTTTATTGCATTAAGTAACCAAATGTTGAATCCCAGTGCAAAGCATAGATTTACATCAAGGCTAGAGCTGTAACAGTATGCATATACTCAGAAATACACATTATGAAAAGGCTTGTGTATTAGACATCAATTCTTAGATGTGCTAGGTGGCACAATAAACATGTCTGTGGCATAAATATGTGACAAGTTTTTCTATTTTGCTGAAATAACTGGTGTATCTAATGAATTAGACAGACTTGCTCAAATCTGAAAAGCTATTAGTTTTTAACACAGACCATGTCTAAAGTCAACCAATATGGTGACAGCAGGTGGATTAATGAACTATTATGTCATATAGCTTTGCATTCCATTTTGGCTTATTGGTCGCCCTAATAACTTCTGGCCTGGCTAAATATTAAGCTTTAAAAACAACACTTTCATAGAGGACTACGAAAAAGAATGCAAACATTTGGGGTAAAAGGTGTTACAGCTAGTTGTAACACCACACTACTGTTTAAAATAGACTCTCACAACAATTTCCATCAGTTTAAGGTTCTTGTGAAGATTTGTAGCTCGGGGTTGTGGATGAGGTTGTTGGCTTGTTCGCCAACCTCATTTGTGACACAACCCAACTTAGTAGACCTGATCATATAAATACCAAGCAGAGTAGAAAAACATCACTTCATTGGAGGCCGCGCTGATGATGTTACCTAGCATGGTGACAAAATGTCTGTACGATAACCAGCCAGCTCAGCGAGTGAACCAACAGCCTCAATTTCCATCAGTTTCCTGTTTATTAAACATTTGAGCCATTACTTCTCTGAAGTTGCAGAGGTTGTTAATTTTACATTTCTAAAGCTCAGTTTCCCTGTTTACTCTATCATGCTGTCTTACGCTTTCCAGTCCCCAAAGTGCTTCCCTTCCTAATTCAGATTGAGACTACTGCTCTCTCTAGGTCAGGCTGGGGGGGAGATCAGACAATTTAATACTGATATTACTTCTATATCAAAACATTTGACATTCATTGAGGGCAGGATTGGCAGAATTAACACCATTGAACATAATTCATTTTTAACTTAATTGGTTTGAAAAATTCAAAGTTCAAGAAAATCCATTTATATAAATCATTGTATCCTAAAACATGGCCAAGTATTGATTTGTGCAGTTCTCATGTAATTTAAGTATAATTACAACTTAATTGTTGGTGATATTTTTAAACCATTTGTCATTTTCTTCTTTAGGTAGTAACATCAATTTTGCATCTGTCCTGTTGCCACCATCAAGTAGGTTGAGAACATTTATTTTTGTGACTTTAACCTTCATTGATTGCTGATGTAATTTAAAACGGAGTATTTGTTGCTCTGTTAGCTAATCTATTCAAAGCTAAACACACAGTAATCCTGTTTCTTTAATGTTCTTATGAAGTTCTTTGCCACTTTGAAACCATATTTAAATGCATCTGTTGCTTTCTTTTACACTTGCTCATCAAACAAAACTTCTCCCCAGCCTCCCCTTGGCCCCCTGCATCTTCCTCTAGTTTGTCTTCCATATTCCTTCTTTTATAAACATTTTGTCTACCAAACTTGCTTACCATCTAATTTTCTTTTCTGTATCCTGTGCTAGCTATGTTACGTATGATTCTTCCACTTCAGCTGCTGGTCCCCCTTTCAGAACTACCATCAGCAGCTACCTCTTCAAAAACCTCATCCTTGGTTCTGAAAAAAGAGTCATCCCATACTTGAAACATTAATTCTGTTTGTCTCTCCTCAGATGCTGTCAGACCTGCTGAGTTTCTCTAGCATTCTCTGTGGTTGTTGTAGATTACCAGCATCCGCAATATTTTGCTTTTATTTTGCTTTCATCTTTGGTCTTTTTGTTATTGCAAGCTACCATGCCTCTTTCCAAATTACCTTTCTTCATGTCTTTAATTGTTTTATTTCCTTCCAAAATCGTACCTTTTTTTTCCCACCCATAACTCATTGTTTGAATCTCTTCATTTAGATTCTATCCCCGCCACACCATCAAAATAATCTAAATAAAGTCATAAATGACATTGTCATTGAGTGGCTACATGCATTAATGTCTCTGCAGGTTTTGACACTGACTCAATTTATTCCAATGTCAGATCAGTGTGATTGCCCGCATTTGGTTCTACACTTGTATATCAAATTATAATCAGTGCATTTCTAGCAATGGTCTCTCTTTCTGCTGACTTTAACTTCTGAATCACAATAGATCTGCCTTTGGGCTTGACATCTTCCTGTCAATCTTCATTTGTCAACATGATCGGGAAACATGGCTATCAATTTGTGCATGTATGCTAACAATATCTACTCTCCACTGTCTCTCCTTACGTCTTCAAAACATGCTGTTAGTATCTGGTTATGACTGGGCCAGAATTTTCTCCAGTGAAACATTGTAAAGTTCAAAACTATTAACTTCAATAAGCTCCTGGGCTCTGTACACTCATGATTCCATCTGTCTTTCCTGGTTCTTTGCTCAAGATGCACCAGACTGTTTGCATCATTTTTGAGTTCAAGTTTAATGTTTTTTTTACTCCATGTGCTCCCCAACACCAAAACTGTAATATCACTCCCTTTCATATGTGCCCTTAAACATCTTCCACTGAAAACTTCACTCATTCCTGTGTCACCTTGGTGTCTTTGTCTTTCCAAGCTATTTCATTGCTGTTCAGTTTCCCGCTGTGCAATACAACTCATTCAAAACTCCTATTCTGCACCTCAGTCCTCTTACCTAATATTTCAACCATTGATGACTAACATTGATGTAAGGTCCCGCAATGTTGCAAATTTAAAATTCCTTGCTATTATTCCTTAATAAAACTCTGTTTACCTCTATCTCCGTAACCTCCTATAATCCAAGGAACATTCTCACCATTTCTCTGACACTGGCCTTTTGTGTACCGTCCTTGCATTCCTTTGCCTCACTATTTGAAGGTGGTGATTTCAGCCACTGAAACCCCATATTTTGGAATTCCTGCCTGAACACTTTCTTGTTGCTTCTGTTCCTCTTCTTGGATAGTCTCATTAAAATTCAACTCCTTTGCTCTGTCTAGTATTTCTCTTTTAGGTCAGTATGATTTTTTTGGCACAGATTTTTGTGAAATTATTTTCTTTCAGGTAATTTTCTAAGTTACAAAGGGCTATATAGATGCAAGTTATTGCTGGAGCTTTTGGGCCACTGAGATATAAGCGTGATATAAATGACTGGAGTTTAATCTCTCCTTTCGTTCTCTGTTTCCAGAACCTCACTCAAGTTCAAGTTATCATACTTCAAGTGAAGACTCACCTACTCCTCCACCTCTTCCTCAACGAAATAAGCCTGCTTTGGATTTGTTAGATCCTAAGGTAAAGAGCGTATTTCATGGTACAGTGTAAAATCATATTGAAATAAAATTTTCCTTCATTAAACTTCCATTGTACAGTTTAGGAATAAGTCTAACTTACTAACATGTGAGGGGTTGTGCCAACATTTGGCGAGCTGTCGCACAATCTACTCGAGCGACAGCCTGACAGTCTGTCCTGATTCTGTGAATAAGACTATGTATCAGGCACCACCATTACCATCACTGGCCATATCCCCCCCCCCCCCCAACTCTTGATGAATCTAAATTAATATTCCTCTATGCTGAACACCAATTAGAAAAAGCTTTGAGGGTGACAAGGGCACAGAATGTACACTTGGTTGGGAGCTTTCAGTGTTCATCTTGGTTGTATCTTGACTGACCAAAGTGGCTGAATCTTGCCGGACACCGATGACGGACAGGGCCTGCGGCAGTTGGCGAGGAAACGAACAATTTGAATTACTTCAAAACACACAGTAAAAATACCATATCAAATGCATTTCTCTCCTTGGCATTCCTGGTTAACTCCTCAAAATCTTTGATCAAATTTCTCAAATAGAAAATAAAAACTGAAAGAACTGCAGATGCTGTAAATCAGGAACAAAAACAAAGTTGCTGGAAAAGCTCAGCAGGTCTGGCAGCATCTGTGAAGGAAAAAACAGAGTTAATGTTTCGGGTCC